TATAGGGGACATCACCTCGGAATTCGTCAAAAACCAGCTCTCTCCATGTTCACAAGACCGCAAAGGCAAAATGTTGCTAATCAAATGTTCGAACTTATATACATAATGTTTTTCTTTCATTTGCTAATGAATGTTTGATTTTATACACATAATGTTTTTGTCTTTTTTCAGCATGTATGTTTAATGCATGCATTACGCGGATATATATGCAATAGTATTTGTCCATAAACTTGCTTAAGAAGTTTTATGTATGGTATTGAGTTGTCGTCATTTTTCTAAATATGAATCGCGTATAATTTGTTGAAAACATTCTATAGGCTAATAGCATATATGCTACGACAAAAATGTTCGTGTGCGTTTGTGCGTGCGCTTAGCAGCCACTTCACTACCTGCTTTCTCTTTCTTATTATTTGTATCGATAAAAATACAGTTTGAGATAAAAAGTATGTAACGCAATGGTTGCTATCGTGAGTATTCCAGAGTAGTCTTATGACGAATTTAACGAATCTTTACGAATTATGGAGGACCAGACTTAACCATGTATACAAGTAACAACAATTTTACATATTCACTGGAATCGTCTATTGAAAACCAATTGCAATGAAGCTAAGCTTTTATTCGGAAAGGCTTTATCTCGAGAGGCGTTAACAACAACAAAAAATTTCTAACAGTATCTGAGATGCCTTGCATCTATTGGCGTTCCGTTCGTTGATAATAGTCACTGACTAAAAGAAATGCGCTTATCCGATCATATGCGCTAGTAGACCGTTTGAAGTTTGTTTTCAAAATGATGATTTTAGTGTAATTTTCGGTTGTTTACATACAATTCTCTTTCTACATACTTGTGTGCATGTCAATTGAATATTGTTTACTCTAAAATTATTTTGGTTATAAATGTAATTACTGATTCGGCACTTTATTATTTTCGTCCAACGATGCACTTGCACATAGCTTTGCCGCATTGTAATATAGCTAGCCGAAATTCGATGGGTGTGCGAGTCGTAAAAGGACTGAAACAATATATGGTAGATGTGCTCAGTTTGTTGCTCCGTATATGAGCGAAAAGTAAAAACGAGTTCGTAATTAGTCCTATACTGCGACAACAGGGAGGAAGTATGAAGAGGACTGTTAGAGAATACTACTTGGCCCGAAGGAATTAAATTATTAGCAATATTAATCCAATTAAAACGAATTGAATTCAATAGTAGACACATCTGTCCGTTTACCCTTTTTTTCTTCCTTGTTAACTACTGCCGAGTCCGAATAGAGCAGTCTAAAACTAAGTCAAGTGAAAACATATTTGTCCGTTTAATTTTCTATTTTGCTTTTTCAAACATCTTTCGTAAAAGAACGCTGTTTGGAAAAACTACCTGCGTCAATTAAAGCAAACAAACTCGAAAGACTAACAACAAGAAAATTAACATCGCAAGCCAGCTGCTCGGCGATGCCTCCCATAGCCTGCACGCAATAATGATGAAAATGATATCCTGATTGCGACCATCGTTTCATTGACCTTAGACGAAAGTAATGGCGCTATTAGGCATAAAATTGTAGTGTGATCGCATACCATCGTATGCATCCACTTGAAGTGTGACAGAATTATGCGACTTCGGCACGATCCTTTTTGGTAAAATAACAATAAAATTTATGTCACGCTTCACATAATTTTCACACAATCATAATTTTTGTTTAGATAAGCATAGCATAGTGTAGAAAATAAGTATAAATAGTGCCGAATAAAATAAAGAAATACAATTGTATCGAAGCAATTCAACTAAGCGTTTCACTCGCTTGTAAACCAAAGGCGTTCAATTCGCCTGAACCGTAAAGATTAGGGACCGTCTTATGCCGAGCTATATTGGCAACCTGTGAGACGGAAAGACTTGGCGCACTGAAGCCGAGCAGCTTAGGGTTAAACTTCATTACAAAATACTGTCATTAGGTGAAAACCAACGGCAACCGCCGAATGAGTGGTCCCAAAATCTAATAACAATCATATCTCCGCTAATTCGACAACCCAGGCATCTCCAGCCGAGAGTAAGCAAAAACGAATTAGACGCAATAAAAAGGCGGAATATCTTGGATGAAATTATCTGGCGGCCTTAAAAATTCATTGAAATTAAAAAAAGAAGTAATAAGCTGCTGGGTTTATGCAGACGATGTGATACTACTAGCCAAAACGTGACCAACGTTTTGGGAAACGAAAGGAAGGTGAAGGCCATAAAACAGTTTCTGAACAGCTGTGCAGCTGAACACTACAAAAACCGCGCTGTTGTGATTTTGCATTATGCCGAGCAAGAAAAATGTCGCTGTCGATGAAACATCCCTTATGTGAAGAATAGGCAACGTACGGGCAGCGAGTGTATAGAGCGATATAAAATATCTTGGTGTTAAATTTTTATCCTTTGGTGTAACAACACCTACGAGCGAAGCGCTGTTTACGATGCTGAAATTTCTTAAGCGCAAGAGAAGCTACGCATCTTGAAATACTTCCTCATATCGCATTTCATAGCAAGCATGCAACAGCCGAGCACAACAAGAATGTTATTAAAAGAAATTGATTATAAAATCAGAGTGTTTGTTGGACATACACCATACCTAAATGCTCGCTACCACAATTCTTTATACCGCTGTGAAGAATGGTCAACTGAGAATTTCCTGTTTACATGAGCGTATTTGCTGCGCTCGAAAATTAAATCTAAGCGCGTATCAGAAAAGGACATTACCAATTGATCCAAAGGCCATTAACCAGGAACACCATGCAACAACGCCAACGCTTTTTGTTTTTCTCGGTGAGGCTAAAACTAGGTATACGGCCGGGAGAAGATCATGTAAAAGCAAGTCAACACCGCTTTAATCTTCTGCTGTGTAATAGTATACCTTTTAATCCAATGTTGGAACGTGCGAGGGGAGCCATGCAGAATAAAGGAAACGGCCTGCAACATTCTGGAGGTCCGCAACGGATTTCGACAGAATAAGCTGACGCAAGATAGTACAAGACCCTGCAGCAGCAAACAGGAGTCGACCGTGGACGTAAAAACCAAATTCTGCAGTCGCTAGGGCGTAATGAGAAACGTGATATTGATCAAAAGTAATCAGGTGATGATAATTAACATCGCAGTCCATTGGAAGGCTGAGGTGCCGGTAGTATTTCTGTAAGGCTAACCACTAAAACTGTGAAGCGTTTGAAGAAATATCAATCCCGGGAAAATGATAAGCGGATTGCGGTTTACAATGAGTTGCTTGATGTAACCAAGACAGTCATTAGCATGACCGAAGCGGAGATACGTACGGATGCAGTACGCATTCTGAAAGGTGGCATCGTTGAATATTCGCGCTTGAAAGCTGTAGCAGCGACCAAATTATGAATTTTCAATTAATTGTTACTAAAAACAACGACAGCCTATCATCTCGATGAAATTGAGTTGGAAGTACCGCGTTATGTCTCAGCTACTTATTGTATATTTATAATATAATACTATTTTATTATATAGCTTGATTCTCTTCTCTCTCTGTTATAGTAAAATTTATAATATAATATCATTTTGTTATTTAGCTTTATCACAATGTTAGTCTGTAGTTATGAAGGGAAAATTATCAATTTAAATAGTATATTCGGACGTATTTTTGTTCCAGCTAGAAAAACAATTAAAATAAAATATTTATAGTATTTTAAAAAAGGATTGGACTACTGTCAACAACTATCATAAAAAATGGTTGTGATAAAGCGAATGATTTTACTGATGTGAACTTAGCCGACTGTACCTAGCCCACATTTTTGTTTTTGATGAAACGTGGGCCATCTTCACACTTGGGTTCGCGCCTTTGCTAAGGTAATTAATAATCGAATGCTATAAAATGATTAGAAAAACTAAACAAAAATGGGAATACAAGCATAAATAATATAAGAAATTATACAGAAATGTTTTAAGAAATTAAAAAAAATAAATTTCTTGTATTTACCATATAGTGCGTGCATATTGTTGGCGAAAACCTACAATACAAAAAGTGTGTATAAAAAACTTTAACAAATTTTTCCTATCGCAGATTTTTGATATGTCTTAAGGGACGCCAAAACCTATCAGAAAAACCTGATTTCATTACCCTGGTGAGGGGACATCACTCAAAATTGGCCCAAAACCGGCTTTCTCCGTATACACAAGACGGTAAAGGCAAAATGTTGCAATAAAGTTGCTAATGAAATGTATGATCTTATATACATCATGTTTTTGTCTTTTTTCAGCATGTACGTTTAAGATTATACATTACGGGCATTTGTTTGCAATAGTAGCACGTTTGTCCACGCTTAAGAAATTATATGCATGTTATTGGGTTGTCGTTATTTTTCTAAATATGAATCGCGTACAATTTTATTCAAAACATTCTATAGGCTAATAGAATATCTGCTATGGGAAAAATGTTTGTGTGCGCTTGTGCGTACGCTTGTTGCTTAACAGCCACTTAACTGCCTGCTTTTTCTTTCTCACTATTTATATCGGTAAAAATTCTGTTTATGACTTTTCGGTATGGCGTCGTATATTCTGAGCCTCTGCAATATAACTTATTTTATTTAAGACAATATGGTAGCTAAAGTAACTGCAATATAAATACAAGGAATAAACCAAACATTAATAAGTAGTTCTCTTAAACCGGACATTTTGGAAAATAGTAGAGAAAGCACATAACGATTGGGGGATTACAATTTCCAGATTTATT